TGAACTCTGCTAACATAGGTCATGTCTCAGCTTCAAAATGAGCGAAACTACTATTGTATACGATAAGACGAATTCATGAAAACTTATAACAAACTGGGCTACCTGGTCCTTCGTCAAGCTCAAAGACTTCATACTTCACAAACAAAGGAATTTGAATTTCTTTACTTTTTCGAGCATCAACCTCGAGAAAGTCTCAAACCGTCGGACTCAAATGCCGAAAGCATTAATATCAAATTCTAATCTTGGAAGAGTTAAATTTGAAAACTTTGTAAAGCGAACCTCAGGAAAGTTGGGAAATTTCTATACCTTTCGACTTGATACTAGTGAGTTATGCAACATCTTTAGTTCATGTTTTACATTTATGTGTTGCAGCCTGAAGCACAGCTGGTGACTGGGCTCTAGAAATTGTTCAGGAGCATAAAGCAATGTCTTTCAATAAGCTAGACAACTACACATCAAACGGTGCAAGATAATGGTTGCATTTGGTCACAACGAGGTTGAAGATGATCTAAATAATTTCTCACCAACATGGCTCTTTTCCTGGGATGTCAACATCTCCTGTACAGACCTCAACATCTCCTGCTGCACCCTCAACATCTCCTGCTGCACCCTCATCATGTCTATGAGTTGGGCCGGATCATGAAGTGGGCGGGCTAGAAATAAACTAAAATTAGACAAGACCATTTTAATCTAATTTTATCACTTACCCAATCCTTGGGGAGGCATGAGGCCATTCTGAAATGAAAACTCTGTCCCTAGTTGTTCTGGGTTGTTCCAAGCTGCTGCAAGTGATCACCAGGAGTTGCGCGTCAGTGTAGCACATTCCAGAACACAAAGAAATGCTATTTTGATTTCTCAACTTAGTTGCCAAGATGTAAAAAAACTAGTTATCAAGCAATTGCATTTCTAAAGTGGGGCCCACAGACTTTCCACCATTTTTACACATGCAAACTTATTTGGCAGAAGGGAAGGATGTTGTTCACATGCCTTTGGTAGCTTTAAAATGATTAAAAAAGTTCTCTCATCATGTGGGTAAAATTTGGTAGCTCTCCATTATAAGCCAAGGACAAGTGCAAAATATCCCGGAATCATGGTGTGCTAGAAAGCATTTGAAAATAATGTAATTTCCCTCTACCAAAAAGCATGTACACAAGAACATGATGGCATGGCATCACCCACCGGTGCCCCATGCACGTGCAGATGGCACCAGCATGAGCAGCATGCACATGAAAGTGGCTTTGGCAGGTTTGCAATTGCATGTGCTTGCTGGCACAAGCAAAAAAATGGTGGTGGCCAGTTGCCCTGCTTGCGACTGTCTATAGGTCAGAGTACAGCAGAACACCGGTAATATATTTTTCATGGGACTGCGGTAAAAGAAATGTATGATAGAGGAAAACATACCCGGGAATGCATCAATCTGGTCCTACTCTACCACACACCAATTAGGCTTAGCTCCTCACTTGTGGGAATAATACCCGTGCCACACGAGCAACTTGAATGCAATTTACAACGAATGACATTTGTGTGATCGGCGAATCAGCTCGCAATCTGTCGTGCGTGGAATGCGCCACGCCCGGACTGTCGTGCGCTGATTGGCCGTCCGCTCAAATGTCATTCGTTGTAAATAGCATTTGAGTTGCCCGTGTGGCACGGGTATTAGATGCAGGAAACTGGTTATTAAGCCGTTGCCAGGTCTAAAGCCCCTCAGAAAATCTAGTTTTGCAGGCACCTCCTCTCTCATTTCCCCCACCTAAAGCGTTTGACATTTTGACCTGCTTCAAATTTGTCGACAAATAGACCAGCACAAAGCACATAGACCACGAGTGCTGCATCAGCACTGGGCTGGGACTCATGTTCTCACTGATCACACCAACAACTAGAGATGAAGCAAACATTTTCTGAATCTAAAGCTTCAAGAATTAAAATATATTCAACCTTTCCAACTTATGACACTGAAACATATAACAATTTCCCAACCTATCATATTGAAAAATTCGACAACTTTAGTAGTTTTTCCACGGATTCGTCAAACTAAGATACAAAACAGGATTCAATCAGTATCTAACTGTTTGGAACACATAGCAACTGCTGCAAATAACATGCGACCACACTCAAACTGTGCAGATAACAATCGCTGTTGCAGAAGACTGTTTCGAAGCTCCAAGAGGCAAGCTATGTGGCCGATCGCGGACCAGCCCAACAAGCGCAGCGAGCTATCTGGTGGTGACAACGGCTGAGCCCGACATCTCTTTGTTCTTTGTTAGCTTTGTTTGAACTCTGCTAAACAGAGCTCACACATCAGAAAATTAACAAAAATTACTTGAAACTACGAAACTATGACCCTTGTGCGATTTGAAGACTTCTAACTTCACAAACTTATACTTCGAACAAAATTCTATATCTTTGACTGATTCAAACCAAAAAAATTTCAAATTCTCGAATGTTTTTAAAACAAACTGCGAAAAAAAATAAGAAACTGTTGAGCTAACTTTTATAAACCTCGAAAGCTTCAAACTTAGTAAATTCGAACATTGGCAAAGTTTGAAAGTTGCACACTTCACAACCCTTTTGAACTCAAACACTAAGAGGTTAGTGACATCTCTACCACGAACCCTGTCGAACGCAGATGCAGTACTCATGTTCAATTTGTGCACTCAACTGGCCTACCTATGCAACAACAAAATTGAAGCATGCAGGCCTCGATATTTTACAAGGTGTTGTCTAGACCCCCCTGGTAGCAATCAGTTCATCGAAAACTGTTTCACCAACAAAATGCTTCGTCGACGAAGGCGTGTTTCTTACAGAAACATCTTACATTTCATAGAAACCTTCCTACTCATGACAACCTTGAAAATTTTTGGCAACATGAATGTCGCTAGACTCATCCAGTGGAGTTGCAGATGGTCGGCCACCAGTGCCCCATTTCTGCCTTCTTGATTGATGGCATAACTTTCTAAAGAGGCTCGCTCCAAGATCGAGCCCAAAAAAGATTACTTTTCCCCTTGCAAAGCGAGGGGGGCGACTGCAAAGTTCGGCCTGCTTGGAATCATAGCTTGCTGTCACGGTGTCAATGAAGCGTTGCAACAGTGAAGGTTGTGTAATGAATGTTGACAAAGTATAGACTGATAAAAAGTTGATCAAATATGCATATATTAAAAGATATGACCCTGTGACCCTGCTGAAATTGCTGCCGAGTCTCTGCTGAATGCCATGGGCGACATTCCGCAGCAACTGCCATGTGTGGACGCCGTGAAATTACACAATTATTTTTGGTGGTGCATACAGTTGGAGAAATTATTGAAAGTAAGCGACGACATCACACTTCAGCCAACCCTCGTCCTCTGTTTTTGTGCTGTTTAACAAACCAAGACATTGTAAATGTACTCACTCCTCTCGGAGAAGTTCCCAGCATCCATGTTGTGATAAATACGGCTCTCTTCAGCCCTAAAGGGAGCTGGAAAAAAAAAAAAAAAAAAGAGTGCCTCAAGTAAGCAGGAGTGCACAGGAGATAAAACCAAGAGCAAAAGTGAATGTGTTCTGAAAGTATGACCAGCTACATTAGTTTGAGATATTTCATAATGAGCCCGAACTAACCTGATACAGGATAAACTGGCAGGACTGGACCTGAAGTAAAAGACATTGAAACAAAAAAATTAGTGAGATGCTTAGACTGAATCATGAACAGTGAAACTGTTTTGCAGATACACAAAACAATGCTAAAAAATCTAGACGTATTTAAGTAGGGCTTTCTATGCGTGCCTTTGCAATGGCTCCCTGCAACCAAGACTCCTGAACTTATACCCCCATTTTTGACAGTTGTCCGGCAATCTATTAAAAGGAATAGAGGACTGACACTCAATTCAAGAAGACTGCTTTTGTAATATCACACCCAAGAACGCAAAATTTTGATGACAAAAATATGCCACCATGCTTAAAGTCCGACCTACAAAATAGTCTTCTACCAGGGAAAAAACCGGTTCCCAGTTTCCTTCTCTCCATTCCCACTCGCCCACTTTTCCCCTCCTCTCCACACAGGTGCGGATGTCTGAACTACTCCCGGTAGAGGAGGAGAGTCTCCCTCTTTCTCAAATGGAACGGAGGAATTGAGGAAGAGTTTCCTTCTTTTCTGCTTGTTGATTGGCCTTTAACCAAAAGCTAGAGCATATCTAAGTACCATGTTCCCAAATTTTCTTGCATCAGAAGTACGGTCAACAACTAAGGCATTTTTTTATTTCTTGCTTCAGACTGCCATTTCCCGGGCTATTTAGAATGGTGAACAAAAAGCTGAAGTGTATACCTGCAGCACTCTTTGGGCCAGAGCATGCAGCCGTGTGACACTGCAGACTCGTTGCAAGTAGCGGAAGTGGTGTTTTTCAGTTGGGCCATAAAGTTGTGTGGAAGGAAGCACTATAAAACAAAACTACCGTACAAGTCAGATGGATTGTTTGTCTGAAAAAAAGTTTTTTAAATTTGTTTTTTAATCAATTGCACCATGTAAGTGAAAATATATTATGCATATAATATTTAAAAGTATGAAAGATGAGTCCAACAAAGTCAGAAATCAAAGACCATCAAATGGCATTGTAGACTACTGGCATCTTTAGGGGACCCCGAGGTCAACACCTGTTCCGTTTTTTGGCTGAGAGAGCGTCCCTGAGTGCATGCTAGCCTGTGCTGGGGACATTCATGTCTGGAAGCTTGGTTGGCGAGCTAGTGTACTTAGACTGGCTTGCAAGGTTTAAGGGACAAGCAATCCTAACTGATGTGGTACAATCTCTAGCAATATGAAAGACCCAATCAGAGCGTACAGCCAATGCAGTGGCTGAGAGGGGCACCACGCACGATTTGGACAGTTCCATGTTGCTCCGGGGGGAGGCTCGCTCAAGGCTCAACCGCTGTTGGTTACTTCAAGTACTGCACAAATTTTTCCACCCAGAATTAAATGTTGTTGCTAACTGAAAGCTCTTGGCTGTCTGTGTACATCTTTCATGCTTTTATTCTTTCAGTCTTAAGTATTTAATTTTACAATCAGCTTGCACTAACCAGACTAGCCTATACTCAGTGATAAATCAAGATCAAAGAGCTAGAAAAATGAAGGGGCAGTCTGCTTACTACTTTCCAGCCTTCGTTCTCCTTGCTTTTTGTTTCTGATCTGTCACCGACTATAACTATTAGCAATTTTACAATTGCTTAACAAGCTGAAGTTATTCATGCAAGTTCTTATTCACATTGAATACAAATTTATAATGCAGAGTCTTATACCGCGACAAGCCCCTCCTCTCGATGCATCATCCGAGTCACTGTTTTCAGGGCTAGCAGGCACCCTTGCCCTTTCCCGTCTTGGGGTTACCGGAACCGGATCATCCGAGTCCAAATGGGATGTATAGGCAGCTGGATCCACATTGTCAAAGGCGTGCTGCAGATTGGCTGCAAGAGAAAAAATAATCTCAAGTATACGCCGAAATAAAAAAAAATTGCCAACTTACTGTAGGACTGAAGAATCCTCACAGGGTGATTTGACCAAGCCTTTGTAATTTTTTCTTTATCTAAAATTGCATTCCGGACCTGCTGCTTGTTCTTGGAAGGTGGGAAGTAGGAGGAGATCACTTTTCCCTTCTTGTCCTTCACCAGCCACCAGTCAGCGACAACGTATGTGCTTCCTTCATCTAAGAAGTGCACGACGTGGTAGCTATAAAAAATAAGTGTGGAATCAATATGCATTCTAATGGAAGAGTAGAACCTACTTCAGTCAGTTTTTGCAAATTGGAGAGCCCGGCAGTGACCACTGCAAGCACTGCCAGATGTTTTTAATTTCCAGGTGAAGAAATTTGTTAAACAAATTTTTAAAAAATATGCTCACATTTCGCGGAACAGTCGCCCTCAACTTTCAGCAAGATGCAAGAAGTCTGTACTTGACCCGAAATGCATAAAATTTGTTCGCATCACGTTTTGAAAAAAGAGCTCGTTGTCACTCACGAGACGCAGCCAGAGACTGAATAGTGAACATGCTAGGACCCGCACACGCTGCGGCTGGCACCCGGGGCAGGCAATACAAGCGGGCACGTGCAACTTGTAGGAACTGGACACTTCATTCAATGCCCGTTTCATTGAATCGCTTGATGCCATTTAATCAATTTTGTTGTACTGAATTGAGGAAAATTAGGGCATTTTACATGTTTAGAGGCTTCCGCTATAGGTCTAAGGCTACTACTATCAAACTACAAGAAATAAGAACTCTGCTGGTTAGATTTTCCACATGGACCGTGAAGCAAAGTGATGCGTCTTGTTTAGGGCGTAGGTTGCCCCGCCGGCATATTTTTTATGGCGCAGGCGATAAATCCCTAGCAAGATGCTGACGCCGGATAGGCTGCTCGGCAATGAGCGGGAACTTAAATTTCGGGTTCGGACAGCACGTGAATCACCCGGGAGCACTCCGGCGATTTCTTCATGGTCCCCGATTTTCATGAAATTTTGCTGCACTCATCAACAAACATCACTATAATAGTACCCCAAATTACGTCAAAATATTTTTTTTTCTTGAAAATTTATTGAATTTCTAATTTTGGTCCTCACCATGTTTTTCTAACTAAAAGTCTCTACTAGCAAAAACGAAAAAGTGACGTCAGAGGAAGGCGCGGGTTCTCTTTGGACTGTAGAATTTGTTCCCAACTGACTCCAAGCAGTTTCGCGGTGCCATATGAAGGCTTTGGAAGCTTGCTCCAGCAAGGAACAAATGATTGACATACTCTATTTTTTAGACTGCTTGCTCGATTGGCACTGCCACTGATGCCTCAGAATCTTGTTGTAACCGCTGCTTATGTGTATGGCGGCAGCGTCTACCTCACGAGCCAGCCAAACCGGCGTGAGCGCCGTTGCGAGGGCTGCTTCGCCTGCGCGTACACAATTCCCCCCCCCCCCCCCCTCCCCCAATTTCTAACTGCAATGCCTACACATTCATACGCTCTAACAATATGCGCCCTGCCACTGATCTCAATGACAGTTGCTGGATCGCGCTTCCCGCTCCCGCAAGTGCAGCCACCGGACGCAACCTTGCCAGGATACGATTTGCAGTTTTGCCAGCAGTTTGCTGCGGTTTTCCAGCATGCTGTAAGCACGTTTTCTACTCATTCGTTGTCATTCGCCGAAGTTTTTTAAGACTGTGTACCGTTAAGACTTGCCGTTGTGAACACGTGGAAAATTTTACGAAAGCGCAGTGTCGCAGGAAAAAGGCACAACTCTTCGAAAGCAAGTTTCGGCGGTCTGGCGGCGTGTTCAAAGCTTCCTTGGCACGCCGAAGTGCCGTGTCTCTGTGCCTTCACACGCTTGAATACCGACCAAGGATCTATGCTGTGTGTACGTGTTTTGCGGGTGCAATGTGCATGAAGTCGTACGTATCCAAAGGTACAACTTGTCGAAAGAAAGTGTCGCCGGTCTCGTGGTATGATCAAAGCTTCCTTGGCACGCCGAATGCTGCATATTTGTGCCTTCGCACGCTTGGGTACCGATCAAGAATCGACGCCACACTAAAGTTCTGAATGTGTATTGCGCATAGATGCCCTTAGATCATTTTGCAAATATTGGCCACGGAGTTCAGGATCGTCTAGCTGTTCCGGTGAGTTGCTATCAATAAAGAAAGGGGGGGGGGGGGGGGGATCTGTATGTGTTCTTATGTACTATTAACCATGGCTATGTTCCAAATCTACTCTAATGGATCACATGGGAGCACGAATAGAGCAAAGCTGTGGAGCAAGGAGGGTTTTCGAAGGCAAAAGTACAAGAAGGCTACAATGAAAATCTTTGAAGTGCAGCCCATATGGTCGTGTGCAATCTGTTGACCAATCACAATTAGGCGAGCCGCGCTCAAACGTCAAGTGCAATTAAGTAGGTTGATAATGAGCCAGCACTGATCAGTGATGGGGAGCTGTTTTGCACAGTATTCTGTAAATCGTCTAGGGGGGGGGGGGGGGGGGGGGGAGACGTACCTTCCCCCCCTCGTCCGTCGCTTCTGGACGCTGGAATATGCTCGTTTCTGGACCGCGAGTGCCGCAAGTATACGGTCGTCAGAGTAAAGTGAGACTCTGATCCAGAGGCACATACAGCCTCATGCACATTGCACTCGCTAAACACATTCACACGGCGTCGATTCTTGGTCGGTATCCAAGCGTGCGAAGGCACAGAGACACGGCACTTCGGCGTGCCAAGAAAGCTTTGAACACGCCGCCAGACCGGCGAAACTTGCTTTCGACGAGTTGTGCCTTTACCCTGCAGTACTGCGCTTTCGTAAACTTTTCAACGTGTTCACAATGGCAAGTGCCAAGGTGCACTGAATCTTAAAAAGTTTCTTCGGCGAATGACGGCGAATGACGACGAACGAGTAGAAAACGTGTCTACAACACGCTGGAAAACCGCAGCAAAAGGCTAGCAAAACAGCAAATCGTATCCCATCACTCGCGCTGCACGCCGCCGTCGGCGTTTCATCCGCAACGTAAATTCGCTAAAAGTTATTCACTAAAACGTTATGCGCTCATATGATATGGACCCTTCGGTATGATTTTTCAGTGCATGACCATGAACTACAACATTCAGTCAGATCTTCCATGAAACGGCGTTTTATGAAATGTCCGGATCCAGTAGCGCATGCATTACTAACACTATGCCCACTGCGTTTCAATCACTTTGCAACAAGGTGTAGTAAAAACGGAATAATAGAAAATGAACTTACTCCTTGTTCAGCGTGTTCATGACGATCAACTAGGCCTGATGAATATACGAGTCCGGCACCAGTGCGACTGGTACAAAACAACAAGGCGACAATGTAGGCCTAGGACTGGTGGTACCGGTGCGGTGAAGACGGGTTGCCGGCGTTGGTTCGACTGGCACGATTGGATGGATAGGTGGGTAGTAAACAGGTAGTAACACAATACGTTTACTATTTGCAATGGGAGGTATTTCGCGTCACCTAGCGGACAACCACAATCGAAGCGTCATAAAAGGTGGGAAAAGTGTTGCCGGGCTGGACAACACACGGCCCGCCCACCTGCAGAACTTTTTAATCGGGGTCCGTGCATCATTTTATCTCGGCATTGTTACTTGACAGGGTATGTAGGGGTTGTAGCGGCTGTGGTATCTGGTGATACTGATTAGTGTGAGTGGCCAAGGCGGACAAAAAGAGTCACTCGGAAGCTTGCTTGGAAGCCAAGCCAGGTCAGGCCATCTGGAAGTAAGGACTAAATGGTGGATACAAACTTTTGGAGTTCTTTTCTATTTTGTTTCTGTGTTTCTTTTGTTTTATCCACGTCATATCGACAACAATATTTTATTTTAAAACGCGCCCGCGACGTTCCTTTGGGCGCGACTGCCCGATGCACAAGGGTTTTGGTGCTACTGGATACTGATACTAAAAACCGGGAAGGGAAAGTATTCACTAGGATGACCTTTGGGGAATACGATAAACATGAAAAAATTATAATTAAAGCACCCGCCACTCCTTTTTAAGACAAGAGAGGGGGGATCGGTGGCCAGGGCTAGCACACACCAGCTCGGATCGAGTTTAGCGAAGGCTCGCGCTGCAGAACCTGCAGGAATCCTGGGTTCAATCCTCACCCCTGCCCGTTTCGATCTGGATGAGCATCGTACCGGCGTGCGGTCGTGTATCCCTGTACTGCACGCTAAAGACCCCAGGCTAGCAGCTTGTACTGCACTGGCTAAATTTTTCATCTACAGCTAAATGTTCGTCATTGTCGCTGATTCAGCTGTCACCGCGTTTTATTACACCTCATAAAATTAACTGCAACGATGACATCGCCGCAATATGTTCGGGCGAGTCGGCCATGACGAGAGGAACGAAAGCAAGTACAGCAAGAGAGCCCACCCAGCAATCGAAAGAGAAAAACCCCGAAACTCCTACACTCCCCCACGTGCACTCGCGGGAACGTTGATAACGAAACTGAAATGTTACGAGTGACTACGGATCGTACTCCTCGGGAAAAGGCTGTGCGGAGAACTATTCCGGACCGCTACTACTAAAATAGTGCCAACGTCATAAAGTGAGGCTAGAGTTTTTCGCAGTTCCTTAATTTTAGTGGTCTTCCCCAACTAAAACAAAATGTCTGGAAATCTAACACGTAAATAAGTAACCCTTTAGTGGCACAAAACCGGATAAAGGCAACAGACACTGTGGCATCATTCCAATCCAATCCGGTCCGAGTTCTTGTGTTCTTGCTTTCCTCCGCACGTGTCGACGACGGGAATCACTGATCAGTGACATGAACTGCGTGTATCTTGTGTCGCCGTGGTTCACACAGAGTCCCGCAGCCGTTTTAGATAGTTAATTTATTTTACTTCGATTATTGACTAACTGGCGTCATGCTACGAGCCTGCGGGAGTCGTAATGAGAGACGACGTCAACTGAGATGGGTTAGGGAGCGTGCTCTCAATCAAACGAGGGATATCGAAAGACGCTCTCTGGACTATAGCAGTGTTGAATCTCATGAACTCCATTCTCCCGGCAATGGCTGCTGTGAGAGTGCCCCACCCCTGGGGTCGCCTACAGGTGATGGTGCATCGCCAAGTACGCCGTCGTTCCTTCAAGGAGACCCGCAGCCGCGCGCGGAAGGCTCACCATTTGTGAGACAGGGCGCTTTCTTTGCGGATGACACATCGGACGACACGGAGGATGAGGCAACCATTGACTCCGCATCGCGACCGTCCTTGCAAGAAAGACTGCGAGGGTGGGTTGGCAGGCATAATGTGACCCACGCCGCTGTGAACGACTTGTTGTTCGTTCTGAAAGACGAGGATCCAAGTCTGCCGGCGGATGCAAGGACGCTGCTAGAGACGCCCAGGCAATGCCCCATTCGCCAGCTTTCAAAGGGGGAGTACGTGCACTTTGGATTAAAGGCTGGCCTTATCAAGTGTCTCTCTTCTGGATTGGTGATCCCAAACGCGGACACGCTCCACCTGACGGTGAACGTTGATGGGTTACCGCTTTTCGACAACTCCAGCCAGCAATTCTGGCCAATACTGGCAATGGTTTCAGAAACGAGAGATCAAGGTCCATTTCCTGTTGGGGTGTTCAGCTGGACAAAGAAACCAGCGAACGTACAAGAGTACCTCGAAGAATTTGTCGAAGAGCTGAACCAAGCGCAACAAGAAGGCGTAGAATGCCTAGGGAAGAAGTGGCATGTTGCCATACGCGCTGTAGTGTGCGATTACCCAGCGAGGGTCTTTGTAAAATGTACTAAGGGCCACACCGCTCACTACGGCTGTGACAAGTGTGTCCAGTACGGTGTATGGAAGCACCGAATGACATTTCCTGAAACCAAGGCTGAACTCAGGACTGACGACTCATTTTCTGCAATGAAACAAGAGGAGCACCACACTGGTGTATCCCCTTTCTCTGGCTTGGGAATCGGCATGATCTCCTGCTTCCCAATTGACTATATGCACATGGTTCTTCTTGGAGTCGTCAGGAAGTTCATAAAATACTGGGCCACGGGGCCATTTACTGTTCGACGATCTGCCTCCCAGTTAGATATCATCAGCGGCAGAATCAGCATGCTCCGTCCACACACGCCATCAGACTTCAGCAGAAAGCTGAGGACGCTACAAGTAAGGGACCGCTGGAAGGCGACAGAGTCACGCCTATTTCTTCTGTACGCTTGCCCTGTAGTCCTGAAGGGCATCCTGACTAAAGAATCGTTCCAGCACTTTATGGCACTTCACGTCGCCATAAGGCTCCTCTGCATGAAAGATTGTTCTGCTGAGCTTGTTACATATGCTGACCAGCTTCTAAACTACTTTGCTGAGAAGGCCTCTTCACCTGCACTCTACGGGGAAACTGTGGACGTCTATAATGTGCATGGCCTGGTTCACCTAGCTGAAGATGTTCGCAGGCTTGGGTGCCTCGACTCGTTCTCAAGTTTCCCTTTTGAAAATTATTTGGGAATTATCAAAAAGAAACTCCGTTCAGGAAACAGGCCGCTGGCACAAGTCTTCAAAAGGATGGCTGAGCTGTCAAGTGCAGGAACGACGAGAAGGAACAAAGATGGCGAGCTCCGTGGGGAACATTGTGAGGGACCGGTCCCACCAGCATTTGAAGATGCAAGACAATTCCAGGAAGTCTTTCACCGAGACCATTCCCTGAGGAGGGTGCAAGGGGACAACTGTGTATTGCTCTCAAACAACACGTCAGCGATCATCGACAACATCTTAAGTTATGAGGGGGTCATTTACATTGTTGGCAGGTTATTTGGTTCTGCAGCCGACATATACACCTTCCCTTGCAAATCAAGTTTGCTTGGAGTGACAGCGGTGAGCTGTCTGTCACCTAGATGTTCAGTGTGGAAGCTTCAGGACATCAAAGCTAAATGTTTCCTGTACCCTTGCGATTCTGGCCATGCCTGCTTCCCTATTCTGCACTCATCATCTGCGTGAACAGGTGAGTCTCAAAGGCTTATGTGGTGTTCTCGTACCGTTTCGTTTTTATCTTCTGCACATGGCGCTAACGGCATGCCCCATTTCTGCGTTTCAGGCTGCGCGGCTCCACTGGACCTTTTTCCGTGTGTGGCACGTGAGCCTCCACGACACACCAACTGCATCTGATACATCCCCTCATGTCAACTGAAAAGGTACGGTGGCATGATTTCCCTGGATATTATGTGGTTATGGCCTAGTTCAGCGAGTGGTTTGCTTTGCACGTCTTGATACGAACACAGCGTGCTTGATTCGCAGGCATTTGACGACCCCCGGGCTGCTTGCAATCACTTCGAGGTTTCCTGCAAGTGCCGAGAAACCCTCGACATCTGACTGCAACACCCCTGAAAAGGTACGGTGGCGTGATTTCCCTACATATTTTGTAGCCGTGGCCTAGCTCGGCGAGTGATTCGCTCTGCACATCTTGACATTAACACAGCGTGCTTGCTTCGCAGGCATTTGACGACGCCTTGGCTGCTTGCAGTCACTTTGAGGTTTCCCACAAGTGCAGAGAAACCCTCGACATCTGACTGCAACACCCCTGAAAAGGTACGGTGGCGTGATTTCCCTACATATTTTGTAGCCGTGGCCTAGCTCGGCGAGTGATTCGCTCTGCACATCTTGACATTAACACAGCGTGCTTGCTTCGCAGGCATTTGACGACGCCTTGGCTGTTTGCAGTCACTTTGAGGTTTCCCACAAGTGCAGAGAAACCCTCGACATCTGACTGCAACACCCCTGAAAAGGTACGGTGGCGTGATTTCCCTACATATTTTGTAGCCGTGGCCTAGCTCGGCGAGTGATTCGCTCTGCACATCTTGACATTAACACAGCGTGCTTGCTTCGCAGGCCTTTGACGACGCCTTGGCTGCTTGCAGTCACTTTGAGGTTTCCCACAAGTGCAGAGAAATCCTCGACATCTGACTGCAACACCCCTGAAAAGGTACGGTGGCGTGATTTCCCTACATATTTTGTAGCCGTGGCCTAGCTCGGCGAGTGATTCGCTCTGCACATCTTGACATTAACACAGCGTGCTTGCTTCGCAGGCATTTGACGACGCCTTGGCTGCTTGCAGTCACTTTGAGGTTTCCCACAAGTGCAGAGAAACCCTCGACATCTGACTGCAACACCCCTGAAAAGGTACGGTGGCGTGATTTCCCTACATATTTTGTAGCCGTGGCCTAGCTCGGCGAGTGATTCGCTCTGCACATCTTGACATTAACACAGCGTGCTTGCTTCGCAGGCATTTGACGACGCCTTGGCTGTTTGCAGTCACTTTGAGGTTTCCCACAAGTGCAGAGAAACCCTCGACATCTGACTGCAACACCCCTGAAAAGGTACGGTGGCGTGATTTCCCTACATATTTTGTAGCCGTGGCCTAGCTCGGCGAGTGATTCGCTCTGCACATCTTGACATTAACACAGCGTGCTTGCTTCGCAGGCCTTTGACGACGCCTTGGCTGCTTGCAGTCACTTTGAGGTTTCCCACAAGTGCAGAGAAATCCTCGACATCTGACTGCAACACCCCTGAAAAGGTACGGTGGCGTGATTTCCCTACATATTTTGTAGCCGTGGCCTAGCTCGGCGAGTGATTCGCTCTGCACATCTTGACATTAACACAGCGTGCTTGCTTCGCAGGCATTTGACGACGCCTTGGCTGTTTGCAGTCACTTTGAGGTTTCCCACAAGTGCAGAGAAACCCTCGACATCTGACTGCAACACCCCTGAAAAGGTACGGTGGCGTGATTTCCCTACATATTTTGTAGCCGTGGCCTAGCTCGGCGAGTGATTCGCTCTGCACATCTTGACATTAACACAGCGTGCTTGCTTCGCAGGCATTTGACGACGCCTTGGCTGCTTGCAGTCACTTTGAGGTTTCCCACAAGTGCAGAGAAACCCTCGACATCTGACTGCAACACCCCTGAAAAGGTACGGTGGCGTGATTTCCCTACATATTTTGTAGCCGTGGCCTAGCTCGGCGAGTGATTCGCTCTGCACATCTTGACATTAACACAGCGTGCTTGCTTCGCAGGCATTTGACGACGCCTTGGCTGTTTGCAGTCACTTTGAGGTTTCCCACAAGTGCAGAGAAACCCTCGACATCTGACTGCAACACCCCTGAAAAGGTACGGTGGCGTGATTTCCCTACATATTTTGTAGCCGTGGCCTAGCTCGGCGAGTGATTCGCTCTGCACATCTTGACATTAACACAGCGTGCTTTCCTCGCAGGCCTTTGACGACGCCTTGGCTGCTTGCAGTCACTTTGAGGTTTCCCACAAGTGCAGAGAAACCCTCGACATCTGACTGCAACACCCCTGAAAAGGTACGGTGGCGTGATTTCCCTACATATTTTGTAGCCGTGGCCTAGCTCGGCGAGTGATTCGCTCTGCACATCTTGACATTAACACAGCGTGCTTGCTTCGCAGGCATTTGACGACGCCTTGGCTGTTTGCAGTCACTTTGAGGTTTCCCACAAGTGCAGAGAAACCCTCGACATCTGACTGCAACACCCCTGAAAAGGTACGGTGGCGTGATTTCCTTACATATTTTGTAGCCGTGGCCTAGCTCGGCGAGTGATTCGCTCTGCACATCTTGACATTAACACAGCGTGCTTGCTTCGCAGGCATTTGACGACGCCTTGGCTGCTTGCAGTCACTTTGAGGTTTCCCACAAGTGCAGAGAAACCCTCGACATCTGACTGCAACACCCCTGAAAAGGTGCGGTGGCGTGATTTCCTTACATATTTTGTAGCCGTGGCCTAGCTCGGCGAGTGATTCGCTCTGCACATCTTGACATTAACACAGCGTGCTTGCTTCGCAGGCATTTGACGACGCCTTGGCTGTTTGCAGTCACTTTGAGGTTTCCCACAAGTGCAGAGAAACCCTCGACATCTGACTGCAACACCCCTGAAAAGGTACGGTGGCGTGATTTCCCTACATATTTTGTAGCCGTGGCCTAGCTCGGCGAGTGATTCGCTCTGCACATCTTGACATTAACACAGCGTGCTTGCTTCGCAGGCATTTGACGACGCCTTGGCTGCTTGCAGTCACTTTGAGGTTTCCCACAAGTGCAGAGAAACCCTCGACATCTGACTGCAACACCCCTGAAAAGGTACAATGGCGTGATTTCCCTACATATTTTGTAGCCGTGGCCTAGCTCGGTGAGTGATTCGCTCTGCACATCTTGACATTAACACAGCGTGCTCGCTTCGCAGGCATTTGACGACGCCTTGGCTGCTTGCAGTCACTTTGAGGTTTCCCACAAGTGCAGAGAAACCCTCGACATCTGACTGCAACACCCCTGAAAAGGTACGGTGGCGTGATTTCCCTACATATTTTGTAGCCGTGGCCTAGCTCGGCGAGTGATTCGCTCTGCACATCTTGACATTAACACAGCGTGCTCGTTTCGCAGGGCATTTGACGACGCCTTGGCTGCTTGCAGTCACTTTGAGGTTTCCCACAAGTGCAGAGAAACCCTCGACATCTGACTGCAACACCCCTGAAAAGGTACGGTGGCGTGATTTCCCTACATATTTTGTAGCCGTGGCCTAGCTCGGCGAGTGATTCGCTCTGCACATCTTGACATTAACACAGCGTGCTTGCTTCGCAGGCATTTGACGACGCCTTGGCTGTTTGCAGTCACTTTGAGGTTTCCCACAAGTGCAGAGAAACCCTCGACATCTGACTGCAACACCCCTGAAAAGGTACGGTGGCGTGATTTCCCTACATATTTTGTAGCCGTGGCCTAGCTCGGCGAGTGATTCGCTCTGCACATCTTGACATTAACACAGCGTGCTTGCTTCGCAGGCATTTGACGACGCCTTGGCTGCTTGCAGTCACTTTGAGGTTTCCCACAAGTGCAGAGAAACCCTCGACATCTGACTGCAACACCCCTGAAAAGGTACGGTGGCGTGATTTCCCTACATATTTTGTAGCCGTGGCCTAGCTCGGCGAGTGATTCGCTCTGCACATCTTGACATTAACACAGCGTGCTTGCTTCGCAGGCATTTGACGACGCCTTGGCTGCTTGCAGTCACTTTGAGGTTTCCCACAAGTGCAGAGAAACCCTCGACATCTGACTGCAACACCCCTGAAAAGGTACGGTGGCGTGATTTCCTTACATATTTTGTAGCCGTGGCCTAGCTCGGCGAGTGATTCGCTCTGCACATCTTGACATTAACACAGCGTGCTTGCTTCGCAGGCATTTGACGACGCCTTGGCTGCTTGCAGTCACTTTGAGGTTTCCCACAAGTGCAGAGAAACCCTCGACATCTGACTGCAACACCCCTGAAAAGGTACGGTGGCGTGATTTCCTTACATATTTTGTAGCCGTGGCCTAGCTCGGCGAGTGATTCGCTCTGCACATCTTGACATTAACACAGCGTGCTTGCTTCGCAGGCATTTGACGACGCCTTGGCTGCTTGCAGTCACTTTGAGGTTTCCCACAAGTGCAGAGAAACCCTCGACATCTGACTGCAACACCCCTGAAAAGGTACAATGGCGTGATTTCCCTACATATTTTGTAGCCGTGGCCTAGCTCGGCGAGTGATTCGCTCTGCACATCTTGACATTAACACAGCGTGCTTGCTTCGCAGGCATTTGACGACGCCTTGGCTGCTTGCAGTCACTTTGAGGTTTCCCACAAGTGCAGAGAAACCCTCGACATCTGACTGCAACACCCCTGAAAAGGTACGGTGGCGTGATTTCCTTACATATTTTGTAGCCGTGGCCTAGCTCGGCGAGTGATTCGCTCTGCACATCTTGACATTAACACAGCGTGCTTGCTTCGCAGGCATTTGACGACGCCTTGGCTGCTTGCAGTCACTTTGAGGTTTCCCACAAGTGCAGAGAAACCCTCGACATCTGACTGCAACACCCCTGAAAAGGTACGGTGGCGTGATTTCCCTACATATTTTGTAGCCGTGGCCTAGCTCGGCGAGTGATTCGCTCTGCACATCTTGACATTAACACAGCGTGCTTGCTTCGCAGGCATTTGACGACGCCTTGGCTGTTTGCAGTCACTTTGAGGTTTCCCACAAGTGCAGAGAAACCCTCGACATCTGACTGCAACACCCCTGAAAAGGTACGGTGGCATGATTTCCCTACATATTTTGTAGCCGTGGCCTAGCTCGGCGAGTGATTCGCTCTGCACATCTTGACATTAACACAGCGTGCTTGCTTCGCAGGCATTTGACGACGCCTTGGCTGCTTGCAGTCACTTTGAGGTTTCCCACAAGTGCAGAGAAACCCTCGACATCTGACTGCAACACCCCTGAAAAGGTACGGTGGCGTGATTTCCCTACATATTTTGTTGCCGTGGCCTAGCTCGGCGAGTGATTCGCTCTGCACATCTTGACATTAACACAGCGTGCTTGCTTCGCAGGCATTTGACGACGCCTTGGCTGCTTGCAGTCACTTTGAGGTTTCCCACAAGTGCAGAGAAACCCTCGACATCTGACTGCAACACCCCTGAAAAGGT